CTGTGAATGCCAAACCTTAGTTTGCTTTCTGCCTTGAGTACCGGTAGGAGATTATGACTTAGAAAAGCCACTATAAATTGTAAGACTCAACAGCTATTTACGTACGTTAACTGCATCGGTTAACGTTTTTATTATTTTTATTTATTTTATTACCAGTCATATTATACGCTGTAAGTACGTATCGTTAAGTACGGATTTAGTTTTTGTCCGATTGATAATATTTTACCGATCCGTTGACAATTTCACGAGGTCGTTTTGATAATCCCTTCTGTATATGTTGGGTACATCTATATTGTATATCTTTATCGTTACAATATTGAAGATGGACGATAAAAATGTTAACAGCGCATAATAATGTGCAAAACACTGTAATTTGATTTTTTTCATTATAATTATTATTACTATTCACGTTAGCAGTATCGGTTTAAAAAAAAATTAGGTTTATTTAAAAAAATGTATGTAAAAAATACAGAAGATTGCATTTGGTGTTAATAAGCGTGTAACCCAAACTCGTTGATATTTAACACATTTTTGTAAGTATTTAGGTTGTTCATAGCTGTTCTCTGGGATAAATATATTATTTTCTGGTTGAGGCGCCTACCGACGCGACGGCAGCTGATTAATCAAAATATATAATATTATTATTATTACTTGAAAAATGTTGTTGTACAATAATAATAATTATACTATATTCATCTGTTATAGTCAAATGGACCGAAAAGAAGCGATACCACATTCCTTAACGTGACCATGGCCTATAAGCCCGTTGATCAGCAGTGTAATATAATAGTGCAAAATTTTGTAAATCGTCCGATTGACATTTTATTGGATGAGCTAACCTTATTAATCCGAAAAAAAAAAAGTATAAAAATAAAAAATCACACGCAATTAAACGATACGACCCGAAATCGCACTCTGAATATAATGTAAACTATACTGTGTTGGTGTCAAAACGTTAAGTGGTCATTGAGTATTAGTATTAATACTGTGATAGAGGTCGACTCGGCCAAGTCACAAGTTACTAATAGTTAGAAAAACGTAACGTCAAAGACTATAATATTTATAGTGAGTGCTGTGTCAAAGCGAGGCAACTGGAAGCAGTAAATCTCCTGCATAAACCTTAAAAATAAGACTAGATTATCAAAAGATATTGGTGTTAAAACTGGTGTTCAATTTTTTTAAATGTACAGGTGTACATAATGTGTTTTTATCATACACAAGTTCGGCCATAGGTTTTATTTAAACGATAAATGATTTTACAAAACAAACATCAACAGGAAATGAAAAAGTCCACTATGCCCCACCAACCCTACTGTACCGCCTTAATAGTTCTTATGTTCTTAAAAGGTCAAAGAAAATAAAAAGTTTTTTTAAGTGAAAAGTTGGGATATTAGTGTGGATTTATATAAAATTTGTTCAAATTATCAGTAGGTCATACGCTCATGTGAAACATATATCAGCCATATTTCATTACATTATTTACATTACAAAACTAGTTGAATGTTGTGCGTTTTAAATCAAGGATTTTTTTTTTTATTAATGGTCACTAAAAATAAAAAATAAAGTACCTACCTTTAGCCAAATGCAAAACGCAAAAAACAAATTGTGTACACAATCAACATGTATAGTACATTTCATTAGCGCGTTTGTGATTTGTGTGTGTGGGTGTGTTTTACAATAAACACATTTGTAAAATTATAAAACATGTCATCTGTGTTTTAAAATACAGCCGTTTGGGTACACACATTGTACATGGAAGGGCTTGAGTGTAAAATTATGCATTTTGACCACTGCGACTTGGGGAAAATGTTTCTAGAACACATTGGATAGTCTTGAGCATATTATACGTTTAATGTCTGACGGACCTTGTTGGATTTAATAGCTATTTTATTTTCCATTCAAAGTCACAGTATAAATTCTCAAGTATGTATCGCGAGAAAATATATGTATTTATTATTATAATAAATAAGAAACAACGTTCCTTCTGCAGCTCAAAGGTCAATCAGTCGACTGATGAATTGGCCAAGATTGAAAATAACAGTAGCTGTCGTTCGACGGGTTTCGCAATAACTTCCACTCAAACTGTTCTGAAACACCAACTGATAGGTATATTATTAAAAAATACTTGTAACATATTGTGTGTGGGTCATGGTTTTTTTTAAACGGTAAACAAATTGATAAACGTTTTTTATTTAAAATTTTTTTTTTTTTAAATAACGAATATAAAATATAAATATTTCGGTATTGGGAAATAGCAAATTGCATTTTGTCTAGAAAGGGATGTATGAATATTATGTAAAAACAAAGTCTTTATGGAAAGTGTAACATATTGTAATTATTCTAAATTTGACAACGGCGATTCGAGTAAATGTGCAGAAAATTCAATTATTTACCTGCCCAGAGGAGATGTGCTCTAAATAGTGTGTATTCAATGTGTACTTGGCCACGTGACCCATCTGTCAATTATTATAATAATTAGTAATTAGGTACAATTTGGCTAGGTTACATTTACTAATTAAATTTATTAAATCAACTATACAATAATGTTTAAAACTACTTACTTGATAATGGCGAGAAAAAAAAACATTATAATTATTCAATTAACATCATTAATTATTATAATATAATAATTATTAATGTAAAACAATGTATAATATTATTATTATATTTTGAGTGAGATTGTGTAAACTACTTTAGATTTTAAATCAACGTTTAAAACAAAAGATATTACTTTAAAGTTCATTTTTCTACTTTTAATGTGAGTTTTGTAATAGATTAAAATATGAAATTTATAATCACACTTGACTGTCTACAGTTTTATCTAGAAGTTTTTATATGAATACAATTTTTTTTTACACAAAATGGTAAATGGTATTTTTATTTTAAGAGTTAAAGTTAAAATCTATTTATTTAAAAAATAGTGGTCCATTTTAAAACTATATTTATTCGAACAGATTAACTTGAGTAGATCACAATTTTAGTTATTAATACTAGTCCCCAACCAATTCGATAACTTCTTGATGCTTTTGCTATACTAATCAATACTAGTCTGATAAGAGTAAACAATTAAAGTTAGCCAAGGGAATCCAAATACTGCACTTTAAGCTCATTTAATAGTTATCATTTAAAGTACACATTTGAAACAAGTTAACTTGGCTGTCGAAAACAAAGAAAATAATATACCCATTATCGAATGACGCAATTTCACGACCTAATAATGTGTTTATTAAGATTGACAGCCAATTAAAAACTAATTTATCGCGCCAGTGACATTTTATAAAAAAAAGATCATCTATTTTATAGTTAAAGCGCAATTGTTTCAGACTTAATGGCCAAATACAAATTAAATATATGCAGATATCAATAATTTGCAGATGGAATCCCGTAAGAAAATTTAATTTATGTATACATATTAACCATTATAATTTTCATTTATCTCTAAACCCGTCTTTCATATCAAACAAACGGAGATTCAACCGTATAATTTATTTAAAAAAATATATATATATATACCTACATTACTGCTTCGAGGTACCTATCAACTTGTTCAATTTTAGCGGAATTTCCTTTGAATTATAAATGTATTCGATTACGTTCAAAGGGCCTTTGACGAAACGTCTACATTTTTTTCTAATAAACGAGATCAAATCAGGTAAATCGCAATAAAAAAGAATCTAATTAAACTGTTCGACGATACAAAATGGCACACAGAAACTAGTAAGCCCAAACTATTCTAATGATAAATTAAATTTTTTACTTTCGAAATTAGATGGTGAAAAGTAATACGTTGATGTTTATTGAACCGTTAGAATTATCTTAAAGGACTCTAGGACATATTATTATATAGTGGTTCTTGATCGATCCATCGACAACAGTTAAGAGCTACCAAGGTGTAGCTGTACTGAATATGTTAGCCATAAAGCCAAAATATATTTTTATAAATATTTGGGTTTTATTCCCTGAATAAAACTGAATAAGCTGGTCACAGATTTTTCTTAGCACGTCATGTTATTATTTAAATTGCCCCCAAAGTTGTAAAAAATAATTTTTAAAGTGTTCTATTTATTTGAATGATTGTCTTACGTGCATTTTAAATAGAGTCGATTTTTCTATTTTATTTGCTGAATTCACAACTGCTTTTAGAGTAATAACTCGTGGATTAAGAAGAAATGGAGTCAAGTCAAGTGACTTGCCTTACTCATCTACTCAGATAAATTGTTTATGTACGGTAAAAAATAATTATTAAACTTTAGTTGCATATACTTATTTCATTTACAATGAAGGTCAAAGATGTCTAACGGGCAACAAAGTCCGTGTGTTTGATCATCATCTCCGTTGATTAGAAATTCATAGTACACAATTGGGTCCGCAAAAAAATCCTACTAAATGAAGAAAAATATAGAAGTACAATTTTTCGCCTGTTAAGAAGTACTTAAAAGAATATATAAGAATACATATTTAAATAGGTATTATATAAACTTAGTTATTCATCAACAAAATGGTTATTAATCGTAGAACAAATTTAATTTTGAAATTACTTGACATAATCCAAACTGAGTAACAAAAAAAAAATGTTGACTGGTTAATAACAAGTTTTGGACAACCATTTTTAAAGTTATAAGAGTGTAAAGTTAGGATTTCGAAATTAAGTAACACAAGTTTTTTTATCTAATCTATTGCCTGTAGATTGATCTTTAACCAATGGCCAGGATAATTCAAATCTTAAGACGCTATACTAATTAATAATTAGTAGTAAATATTATAGTCGGATTGAATTGACGTTTTCAAGGAATATTTAAGAACACGCTATGTTATTAATTTGTATTGCATCACAATTGGACTACACAGAAACTATAGTAACTCCGCTTTATCGAGTTTGAGATTAAGACAAACATAATCGACTGAAACTAAAACGTAAGGTGGTCTAGTACTGCGCATAGAAATAATGTTATTTATTTAAATTAGATTATACAATGTTATACAGTGATGAACGTAGAAAAGTTATCTCTGGTTATAGTCCAGAGTGCGGATTCAATAATAACTTTATATACACCGAAACCTACGTTTCGCCTTATTATTTTTAAGAAGCTTTTAGGGAAACGTATGTGGAACCTCTAGTGCAAGCATCATGAATCTTAAGTGTGTACTCTATGTGTTTGGACTATTTTTGTTAAACAAAACGTTCGCCGACAATTATACAGCAGAACATAAATCGCACTCGTCAAGTAGGCGTACTTATATAAGTCCTCTCTATTAGTTTGTTGACACTTTGTACATGTTTTAAATTATAATAAAAATTTATTTTTTTTCTCAGCGGATTATGACATTACAGTCGTTTACAGACTACGAGGGAACTCCACAAACTTCAATAAATGTACTACTGATTGGTGACCAATACTTTACTCACATTTATCGGCATTTTATTTCATGCTTAATAGTTTTATTTTTAAAACCAAACCAATTTAGGTGCAAGACCGGATAAATTTTTAATCGATTTCATAAATGATGGATGTTATGGTGGCGAAGTTCATTCAAGGACTAACGCTATTGGACTCCCAATAACATTCAATGGAAGAGTTTTGAGGTCGAAGGACAAGGACCTAGAGTTCATTGTAGATTCGTCTTACCCTAATCGTTATTTTACAAAAAATCACGTCAAGTATGACCCGTCAAAGTGGATTATCGATTCAACATACAGGAAATATACATATACATCTTATGGACATTATAACAGCTATAGAGACCAAAGTAAGTTTTAATCTGCTAAGCAGTCTAAAAAACAGCATATAATTTCTAGATGTATAACATAACTTTCACCCCGATAACCATTATCTACTTGACATTTTTTATAATTAACACTAAAACAATCTAATATAACACAGGGAGCATCACGATGATGTGGTAGATTTGCGGTACACACAGAGTGTATAAATTGCTATAAATCTAAATGATACATACTAAAAATATTCGAAAATAATTTTTAAAACAGAAACGGCTGCAGGAAGTCTTTTAAAGTTTACCGGATCATATTCTTCAAGTACATTTAAAATCAGTTGGACGCCAAAAGAAACAGTTGAAGGATGTGTATCAATAACATATATTATGTCAAATGGAGTGAACAACGAAAATAAAAAATATTTAATGATATATGAAGTAGGCAGTTATAATCCAATTATATCACATCAATTGAAAAATACGGTATGGTTTTATTGTTTTTTTTATACTATTAAATAAAAATTCACGGAATTAGGTATAACTGAACATTATTAATGCTCAACTATTATTTCTAATGTTACATTCTGAATCATAAAAAAAATATTAACATTTTTCTCTTAAGATTTGTTACTTAGAAGAACTTTGTTTTGGTAGATTTCTGACTTTGTGTTTACAACGAGTTAATAATAGGTTCAAAATTTTAAATTTAGTGTAGCCTATTTAAATGTGGGTGTTTGATATCGAATGCTTAGTGAATATTATTGTTTAAAAAAATGATTTACCTTTAAATTATAAACAAAATTACTATGAATAGCACCTGTAGCACATAAATGAAATTAATCTTTTCCGATTTTTTTGTCGTACCTAATAAATTGTATCTACAGGGCGATCCACTTATCGAGAACCACTCAATATCTCATAGGGTTTAATTAGAAATTAAATTGTTTTTTTCATATTGATTTTATACAATGTGATATCTCAATTTTTCACAATTTTTTTTTGTTACAACCCCCTCCAAACTTAGTGTTTTTTATAGCAACTTTTTAAACTTAAATGGTAACGTACATATTTTATTAACTTTTTAAGTTTAGAATATAGTAATAAACATTTTGAATGGTCGATAACCAGTTTCGGATAACTATTTTTAAAGTTAGGATGGGAGGGTAAGTGCGGGTGGGAAATACGCGCAGATAAAAATAATACTACACTTCATCTTTCCTCATGCTCTAAACTTTCTCGTTAAACCCTATGAGATATTGAGTGGTTTACGATAAGTGGATCACTCTGTATTGCTTTTTAATTTCGATTGTTAAATTTACATACCTTTCCTTTAAGTCAAACCAATTTACAGAGCGAATTGGAGACGTTAATACTGCGAACCAAAAACTTGTTTTTTAAAAATAATACTTATCAATTGGTTATAAGTAGTCATTCCTATCCAGATAATTCAGATAATTTTGGAATTAAAAGAATAGCTGAGTGCAATAACGGTAAGTACTAAGTTAAGATAAATGGTAGGGTACCTAAAACTGGTACAACTGTATATACGAAAATAGAAATTGGGATTTTAAGATGGTAGCTTTTCTCATCGAATCAGAGCAACTACTTCAGGTGTCTTTCAAGTGTCCGGTATAAGTAATGTCGGATATTGCTGTTTTCTAAGATTTTATTTCTCACCATTTACTTGTTTTAGACTGTTTGCTCTCGATACAGCTTAAATAGAATCCAACCCTGATGACTCTCGAATCACCTGCATTCTACTCGTTGTTTTTCGCCAGTAGTGGCTCCGGTTTGCCCGCTTCGGCAAATCCATACTAATTAATACCTATACACATTCCTAGAGGGATATTTTACAGATTATTAGTTAATTATAATAATTTGATATTTATCTGTTGATTATTTTAGAAGACGGAGAAATTTATGAAATATCTGGAAGTGAAATTAGTTCAAGTCCAATTCATAAGGCTAACGTTTATCAATTGCATGGTAATTGCAAGCGCTTTTCAATTAGTATTACCGATTGCATTGATTATTACTGGTTGCAAAAAAACTTTATTGGTCAAATACAGTTTATAGAAGCTTTAACTATACGTCTGATTTCTTTTGATAAGAAATAATTAAACATTTTCTATTTCTTTCTATCTATGATGTCAAACAACCATTATACCTCTGTAGACTCTACGCACTAGAGCTTATGATATATTTTTATCGTTAAATGTGTAAGACGTGTATTATATATTTTTTTAAGTATTAAAGACTACACGTCTTTTTAGTTGAAATATATTAAAATTTAAGCCATCATTGCTATGTTAGTTTATAATAATACATTTTCTAATTTCGATAGTTACGGAGTCAAGTGATTCAGCGTACTCTCAAAAAGGTATTATTCATGTTTAGTACAGTTAGTACGGTAAATTGTGTAAACAGTGAGTTGATTCGTTTATTGATATTTCAGAGTGTAAAGTAAACAGATTTGGAGCCGACTGTTCTGGAATATGCTCAACGCGACATAAGACGTTTTGTCAGAATAAGCTATTTTGCACTTCAAATTCTAGATGCTCGTGTGCATCTGGATATACTGGAAAATTTTGTGACGAAAGTAAACATTCGATTAACATTGTATTCTTTTCCAAAGTTAAAACACTGGTTATTAAATGTTTCAGATTGTCCGTCAGGAACATTTGGTCGTGATTGTCAACATCAATGTGCCAAAAACTGTCTAAGCGAATGTAACGTCTTCACTGGCGTTTGCCTGGGTGGATGCAAAAAAAATTTCGTTTTGCCAAATTGCACCGAAAGTAAGATAACCATTTTAGGCCAGGAAAGTTAGAAAAAATATTGGAAAGCTTAATTTTGGTATAGTCGTTAAACCCTTCAATTAACGTTTACACAAAAATTCAGCTTTTTATAATTTTCTTCAGGCAGTAACTTGCCTGAACAAGGATTATAATTATTTTAAAATATGTTTACAGAGTATCCATGGTTAAAAACACCTCCTCAGTTAGTATCATCTGATTATCGGTCTGTTAAACTAAATTTGAGTTTTGAGAGTGGAAATATCGATGGGAGCCAACAAATACCTCTCATTTACTATCAAATAGCATATAAGGTAATATTGATTTAATTAAACTTATAGACGATAGTTATTAATTGATATAATTGGTAATATTATTCCTGAGAATTTTCGGTAACGTTTTCAAAACTTTGATAACATCAAAACTATTTATCCAAAACTGGTTGTCGACCGGTCAAAATGTTCAGTAAATTATTAATTACATATTTTTCTTTAGAAAAAAACGAGCGAATTCGATTTCCAGTATTCAGATATTAAAGCAATTCGAAATTCTTATAACATAATAGACAAGGTTGAACATTTACATGCCGGTACAGAGTACACGTTTGGCGTAAAAATAATTTCAAAAGACGGAAATTTCAACGACGAAGATATGAATACTGCCAACTACAGAACTCAATGCCAAGGTAAATAAGAAAGCATAAAAAATGTAACAAATTCATTAAGAACTAATATGAAATGGATAAAAACAAAAAAAATTGTATCAATTTGTTACAGTCCCTAAGAATATCGATTACGGACTGAAATGTTCAAAAAGTTCCAACCATATCGAAGTCACTTGGGAAAAAGTATTATTATTAATATTATACATTTTAATTATAACTAGATTAGAAATCGTACCTGAAAGATACTTTATTGGGCTTATAATATAAAAAGTACAACCGTCAACCTATCTATTTTCCTTTAAAACTAAAATATGTAAAAAAAAACGTTATGTTAGGTTAGGCGCATTATAACTCAAATAAAATAAAAGAATCGGTTCCAAATTTGTATCAATTGCTAACCCCTCTATCAAATGCCATACGCAAAAAAAAATCTTTATATTATTTAAAAATTGCCACAAGTATATACAAAATATCAGTATATATAGCAGTATTTTTTTTTCTCCCTCCGTTTAATGATAATATGGTAGATCTAGTATTATTATCTTAGTAATAAGTAAAATGGTTATTAGAGAAATCTATTTTTTTAAGCACATTCGTCTATAAATAATACTATAAATACTTGCACAGTATTTTGTCAACGACACGTACGAATGCAAAATCATTGGCTACACTGTTAAAATAATCAACAATCGAGAAGAAACTGTAGAAGTCAATACCAAAGAAAACAATCACATTTTTCAATATCTTCTACCAGCTTCCGAATATGCTATCCAAGTGACAGCATTGACCAATTTTGGATCTGCCGAACCTTCAGCCATTGTTTATGAAACCACAGACGTACTCGGTCAGTCGATACAAAATTAAATTTAATATATTAGGTACAACAAAATACAATATTAATAAGAATTATGTTTTTTTGTTGTTCTTTCAGGGTACATTGGTGTACAAAACATTACAGCTAAGCTACTGGATTCGAACAAAGTCATACATTTGACTTGGGAGTTGGGAAATCCGTATATAGATGCTCCGATAAGTTACCTAATCAAACATAAAGTATGGCACTTCAGTATAAGTCGACCTGGCTAAGAACATGGGCAATTGAAAATACTAAAATCGTGCTTTTTCAGATAAACCGAAACTATAGTTGTTCTCATTCTACCGTTGGTACAACCCTTTGGACGGAAAATACCGTCCACAATAAAACCGAGTACGATATCAATTTGGACTTCATACCGAATGTCCAGTATATTATACAAGTGGTGCCGATCACTACTGGTTCTTTTAGTTTGGACGATGAGAATGTTGTCTTTGTACAAACGGAATCTTCGAGTAAAATAACAATACGTTCAGACGGAAAAATGAAATCATTTTATTCGTTTTTTTTTATTTATATGATTTATAGCACCAAAACTGGCACCTGCTATTGACAAAAGCCATCCAGTGTACGTTACCAATGATACGGCACAAATCAAATGGTTCGTGGATAAAAGACATTGTATGGATCTGAACGGAATTTTGTCAGGCTACCATTTAACGTTGAAGGTAAAACAAGTAATTATGTCTCTCTACGTCGTTTGTAGTGTATTTTAATATTTAATTATTTTCAACACGATTGAATTGGCAAAAATATGCATTGCAAATATTCTATATAGAATCGTTCAAACGGAACTCAAACAACAATAGAAACCGAAGACACCGCAGTTGAATTGACTGATCTGGTCCCTAATACAGATTATGAGCTACAGATTTGTATAAAAACCGACAAAGGGTTCGACATGGACTACGCGCTTTCAGTTCCATTTAAAACTAAGCCAAAATGTACGTCGAATAAAATAGGTTATCCGATTTTTAGTGCACTATTGTAGTCTACTATTGAAGAATTTTGATGTTTTGTAGACTTACCTCCGGCAGAGGAAATTACGGTTTATAAAAAAAATACAAAAACTAGATCCATCGATCTTAGATGGAGTTACCCAAACGATTCCGCCGTGGACGGTTTCATTTTGCAAACGAGTACTAACAATCAAAAATCTGATGTAAATCAAATAACAATAGAACCATTTAGATGTAAGGCGTGGCCAAAGTTTTACTGTACGACAATTAACAATATGATACCAGGCGTCGAATACACTGTAAAAGTAATTTAGTTCACTTAGATGTCATCCACTTATGACGATATAGTGTTATGATAATTGTTCCCCGTAGGTAAGAGCAAAATCTGTCGATTATCCAAATGGAGGATTACCGGCTTCCATTAGCTTCAACACTATCGACGGATGTAAGTATATTTCATAACTGTCGAATCAAACTTTTAACCAATACATTGACAATACTCGAACGTTTTAAACAGCTCCGGACGAACCAGGGAATCTCAAAACAACCCACGTTGGTGCCAAAAGCGTGAGTTTAGAATGGGACATCCCTTGGATGTTGAACGGTGTTCTCAGGTCGTTTATAATTAACGCCGAGGAAGTGTCTGCTATCGACGTGGACTCCTGTTGTGTCAGCTTACCAGTTATGGAATTACAGGTCACAGAAGAATTGCCGACATACAACTACACGGTATTAAATTATTTTTCTGGATTTAACGCACCTATCATAAAATACGGATATATTTAAGAATGACAATCGAGATGAACCCGCGTGTAATTTGTTTTACAGATAGTCAACCTAAGACCCGGTTCAACATACACAATAGGCGTGCTAGCGAAAAATTCATGGTATGGACAGGCTAAGAAAATATACGTGACCACTTTGTTGCTAGACACAACATCAGAAATAACGACAGAAACAAACGTTTTCAATGCTACCGAAACGAGTTAATGCAAATCCGTTTACCATACTTTTAATAAAATAATCCATTGTCTCAAAACGATTTGGCTACTTTACTTTGTTATGGCATTATAGGGATTTAGAAAAATAACACAAGTAAACCGTACGGTTTTAGTGTTAATAAACGTTGTGTAGTATAAAAATTGTTGTGGACTTAGCCGTCGTTATAATTTATATAAAGAAAATCTGTCACTGTACGAACTTAGTATATACATTTTTCTTACTGCACACAAACGACGGTTCAATTACAACGCAATACTATAATTTAATAATAACGTTGTAACTGTGGTTTGTGTCAACTATCTCTACAGATGTCCTCCAACGGCAGCAGCGTAGTGTATGATCGAAATCACCTTGTCGGTCGAAAGTCGTGTGAACTGAAAAAATGGCCTGCCATACTCAGACTACCCAATTATTATTATATTATTATTATAGGTACAATGTCATCATAATTATAATATTATGTATTAGGCATCGTAACGTGGGTGCTGTACTTGGACGTCTGCCTCTACCGTAGATAATTGATATTAAATTATTAGTATAGTAGTTTATCAACGATTTTTTTTTTTTTACAGAGTTGTCTTTTTTTCAAAAACGGATCGATCATTTCGGTAAACCCCTGTGTATATATTTTTAATTTTTTCCATAACCCGTACACCGTTTGACGGCCGTTGTTTGCCAAAAAAACAACGCTGATATTACCATAATAATACCCTGTACCTATTATAGTATTAAAAAAAAAAAATACACATACAGAAATGGCGTCGCTCCCGGGGTATTTACCCGGGTTTATGTACTATTATAGGCTTTAGGCGCCGTGTGTTTTAAGTATAATAATTTAAAGTTAATGTATTTTATTAGCGAACGGGAGCCGGAGAGACTATTAATTATACAAATGATGAAACGGTAGCCGTCGCCGACGACGGGCCGTGACACGGTGCTCGCCCGGAGACGATGGTAATACACGGTTCGTCATGGGTTTTCACTTAGGTATAAGTTACAGAAAAAAAACAATTAATAAATTATCACAACTGTCACTCAGGTGTGTTTAGAAAAATTGTTAAAAATAAAAATAGAGAGAGAGAGAGTTGGGTGATTCATGCGCCGGACTAACATATAAAACCTATAGCGCAATGTAAACAGACTTTAATGATCTCAGGTCCGGGTGGTCAAAGAAATTGTATCAAACATCTGTTATCATCATCAACCTGGGTTGATATCAGTAATTCATATCAGTTTTGGTTTTTGCTTACATTTTCAGCAACCACGTTGCTTTATTAGGGACTGCGCCTTCTGGTTTTATCTAATCTGTGTTACTATGAAATATTATTTTATTAATATAAATATAAATAATCCTGACGTTGTCGCGGGCGTGAGAATTTAAAAGGTAATATAATTCAATAATTTCGAATCTGTCGGCGATTTTTAACTGTTTTTCTATAACATTATGTTTAATATTATTATTATCCTACGCGTTTGTACGTCATAAACGCAGCAGGTGGCTTTTTACTGTATTGTAATCAGGTGATTGGTTGCACTCTTCAGGTATTCAAATGATAATATTATGTACATGTTATTATGTTCTCTATGGCATGTACCAGAGAGACGGTGCCGGTGTCAACTGATTTAAAACCGTTATTATTTTGCTAAAAAACCCAAACGGCCTCGTGGGTGCAAATAAGTGCATATTTTTTAGGAAAAACGAGTTATGTACATAGCATGTGAAATGTATACAGCTTTATGTCAGAAAACCTATGTCAATAGAATCTTAAGGAATGTCGGCTGGGTCATAGCCGGTACACCGAATCGCCTTGCATAACGCTTGATTTTATACACAAATAATATGATAATTATTTCTTTGACAAATAGTAAACATTCCATAACATACTCATAACAATTTTTTTTTAGTTGAAATGTCATGCCGCTCATTGTTCGACTATTTGTAACGTTGTCGACAAAGCAATAATGCTTAAATAGCACCCATATTGACAACATGGGATATTTACAGAAAAAAAAAACAATTCTACAATCTACATAAAAACTTTCATAAAGTTTCAAAAATATAGACTTAACATTTCGATTTGAAGCAAACAGCAAAAACAGCTTTTGTCCAGGGAATGGGTATTTGCAAAATGCTGTAAAATATTGACATGTAGTTGGAAACATGTTCATAATATTTTATTTAGTAATTTGTGTTATGCAACTATTTACAATCGCGTGACAATATTATGTTTTAATAATAATATTTTAACCACATTTTGTGAATACAAAAAAAAATACTCTTTTGAAACATTTAATCTATTAAAAATATAAAATTGTCTTTTAAAATCTGTGTTTTTTTTTTTTTTTGCTTTTAGCTTTGTGAACCAGGTATATGTATAAAAAGTTAATTGGTGGTATTTTAAACAACGCAGCATTCGACTGAACTGGTAAAACACTATTGGGGGGTCGCACTATGTAAAATACACATAGGTATGCGGTCAAATGGTGTTTTCCAGTGAAATAAAATAGCTGTCATTTAACGACCAACCGGTGTGGTGTGTGTACCGAACATTATAATATTATTGGCCCATTACAGTAAACGTTGGTATATAATATTTAAATAGTATTATATTAAATGGTAAGTATTCGCGGTGGTCGTTCTACAGTTTACGAAGAGGATTTGATCGCATCGTTATTGAGTGTTAAAAAAAAAAGTATCATAAAAAAAAAACCTATAAAAAAATAAAAAACACAATACTAAGCGGTGGATTACTTCGGCTGGCACTTCGGGTCCTTGTCGTTGTGCAACGCAAAACGGTGTCTGTGACAACCGCAAGAGTTTCGCAACGACACACTAATACGTCTTACTGTGTTATTAGGTGATTATTATTACTAGGTATAATATGAGATACGGCCGTGTTGATGTTGTTCATAACCCGGCGAAGATGTGTCGGCGCCACCGAAAATATCTATCTTATTTGGGGCGTCCGGTTAATTAGTGTGGCCGTCCGGTATCATCTCGATGTGTGCCAAACGGTTATCACTATGCGTGCTCTGTCCAAAGATTACTAGTTTAGAAGTTAAACGACCACTTTAGAATGTCGGTGCGACACGGCCAAGACGATAACAATATTATTAAGAGACGGCAGCGCACGATAATAGTTAACACACAAACCCAAACACAGTTCATCCCGGCAACGATCTGATGATATTCGAAGATTATGCAAACGCTGTGACGAACAACTCAATTAGTTAAGTGTACGAGTTACCATTTAGTGAACCGGGAATCCCCCCCTCCATGTCACGGACAAGTATTACAAATCAACCGAAAAAATGTATACTTTCCGACGACTCGAAATCGCAGCAGGGGCACGTCAAAGAAATCCTAGCGTGGAAGAATAATATTAAAATGTCTTACGATATGGCCCATATTGCCGCTCATATTTGTATGGAATATACTAGGATGGTTAAGGTAGGCAAAAAATAATAACGCATATCTTTCGACGAATAACTAACTACTATATCGGTGTCTTGTTGAGCTAATAAAAAAAAAAATACATTTATTATTTTAATAGAAAATCAAAGCGCAACACTGATGTATTGTTCAAATCGACTTGAGTTACCGTATAAGTAGGTTAATAAAATAATAAATATTAAGGTATTGTCGGTATTTAGCATTACTCGGTTAGCTGAAAAAATACATTAAAGTTGGATTTTTTTTTTTTACAATACATAAGGGTTCGCAGTAAATATTATTATTATTATTATTATAATTGTTATTTGGAAAACTAGCGAAATATCCAAAAATTATACATCTCCATGTTGTACAGTGTAGTATGAGTACTGAAAAAACATATGATTGCATAGGCAAGAGTTTAAAAATGTAAAAATGCCGGTTTTCATTTGTTTACTAACTATATTACATAGTATTTTTTATATTTTACAATATTTCATTTCACTATGAAAAAATAACCGAGCCAGAGAGTTTATAGGCAGTTAGGATTATACTGACCGAATGTTAAATATTTTATGGATGTAAAAAAACCCACACGTGTCAAATCTAAGAGTAAACGATTTTTTTATTAGTCAAATACATTTTCAAACTAGCGAACAAATCGTTGGTGGACATAAATCGAACAAAATATTATTTGGCGGGCTGAATTTAGCTTCCACTCCGGTCTTGCACGTGTTCAGTCACACGGATCCATTGCAAATTCAATCTTCAGCGCATATTATTATAACAACGTGTGAAAGTGTTCGAAATTTGAAATTTAAATCTTAAATCGGCCTCGCACTGACGATTCGAGTCCATTGCTGAGACTGAAATCGTATGGTGTACGATTGTAGTAAAGGCAAATTCACTCCACTCAGTGGCACACCTGTCTGTTAAAAAAATAAAAAACTCACTTGCCACAATTCGAATTTTTTATTTAGTTTTTCATTTGTAAAACAACATTTTTTACACTCATTCCACCAAGAAGATTCATCATAAGTTATTCATAACTTTATAGGCGATAACTAAAAACAATTTAACGCACTGGAGATAACCTAAGGCCAACTTCTGATTTACAATATTAAGTAAGTATAACATTAAAAATATGAAAAAAAATCCAAGGATGTTAACTTTTTTTTCAAATTTCTTAAAGGTCACTGAATTAATCTGCTATTAAGTTAACGTTAAATTCTATTTTTGTGCCGCGAAAAATTTTCTCAAAAATCGGCAACGCATAAATTAACTATTATATACTACTGTGTGGTCTGATTAGCTGTGTTTAATACAGTGAAAAGCACTCAGACCCGGCCAATATAATGTTGTGGTTTTTATAGAATATTTAACGTGTAAACTTTATGACATTTATTTTTACTCATATACTTTCATATACTTTCGTGCTTTGTAAAATTGCCATACAAAATGAGAGGTCACATTATTTTCATACAAAAATTATCCTATTAAAATTTGTAATAGTTTTAAAAACGACAATTGGTCGAATCCAGTAGAAGATTTATTATAAAATCATAATTGATATTAATAAAATATTAAACGGGGTTTTTTTTTTA